CCCCCTCCTGGAACCTTCACCCCACACCCCCTCCTGCACCCCAACCCCTCCCCCAACCCTGAGCCCCCTCCCACACCCAAACTCCCTCCCAGTGGATGGCAGTTTGGTTTCAAAGGGGCAGCCCCGGGGGGCAGGATTGGGGGTCATCCACATAGGCCCAGCTGGCCCCCCAGGGGCTGCTGGCTCCACATGCCCACCCTCAGTGGCTGGTTTGCGTGGTGCCCACGTACCCCGGGTGCAAGCCACAGGGGGGCGCTGGCCCCTTGAGGGGCTGGTTCCTGCGGATGGGTTTAGGAGGCCGCTGTCCCCCCACCACTGGGCCCTGCCCCTTTGGCTTCAGCCCTAGGTGTGCTGAGTCCGCCTCTGGACAGGCCAGGGTTCAGTCCTAGGCCCTGGTGGCGTCGTTCCCAGAGCTGCCTTCGGTCACCGACCTGCAGGGCAAACAGCCCTTGGGGGAGCGGGACCCACGTTAACCCTTCAGGGCTCTCGCGCTGGCTAGCAGCTGCTCTGCACCAGGCGATTGTGAGTCTGCTGCTGTCGCTGCGGCGTCTGCCCTGGTAGCTTTGTAGCAGGCCAGCTCTAACACCCCTGGAAAGGACTGCAATGGGGTTTGGCACAGGACTGTGGGTCCATTGGCTGCAGGTTCAAGTCCACACCTGGGGCGCACAGCAGGAGCTGGGACGCACAGCCAGAGGCCTGGCAGATCTGGGTTTAAATTATTTGTATTGTTTCAACTGATAATAGCAATGTTTATTTTTAAGCCTGTTTCCCTATTTTTAGCAATTGACATTTCTGCCGTTGTGCAAAATGATGGGTGTGGAGCAGTTTTTCATTTGAATTTCCACCGTTGTGCAAATGTGCGGGCTTTTTAGGCATTTTCTTTTTTCAATTTTTAGACATTGAAATGTCCACAGCTCTGTAAAATTAGGGGGGTTACGCATTTTTTAATTTGAATTCCCACCGTTGTGCAAAGTTATTCTTTTAAGCATTTTTCCCCCCCAATTTTTATCTATTTAAACTCCCACAGTTGTGCAAATTTTTTAAGCATTCCCCCCCCCCATTTAAATCTCCACAGCTGTGTAAAATTATGGGTTTTCAGCATTTTCTTTTTTAATTTTTGCCCATGTACATGTTCATGCTTGTGGGAAACGATAGGGTTTTTTAAGCATTTTTGTTTTCAATTTTTAATCCATTTAAATGTCCACAGCTGTGGGAAAACCAGGGCGGTGTCCCACAATGATTATGTAATGACAGCAGACCCTGAGAGTCAGAAAGTTAGAGCTTTATTCGAATCTTTAATTGTCAACATCACATGTCAAAATATACAAAGTCAATAGCCTTCAATCAAACGGTGCTACCATCTCAAGCAGCACGTCTCTGACTTTGCTGAGATGTAAATGTCGATTATTATCGATGGAAATATTTTTTCCATCGGGGGAGGGGTATGTGGTGAAATCAACATTTACTGATGCAAATCAAATCTTTCCAAGCCAACATATATAGGAAACGGTGGTGATCTGTAGCCCCTTCTAGTGGCTCTATCATATAACAGGTCCACATGTCTGGTGTTGTAAGCACAGTTCTCAAAGCTGACATTTTAGCTGGAATCTTCGCTAGGTGCATGATTTTACAGCCTGAAATCATAGGTTCAAGTCCCCCATACTGCTGCACCCCCTGGAGAAGGTCATTATATAAAGAGATGGCCCAGTCTTTTGATAAAACACCTACCGCTCAACCTCTGCCACAAAGGAGCGTTAAAATGAAAGTAATACAGCAATAGCTAGTTGTATTGTATTATTTGAGCTAGTGAATTAAGCAACAGACTGAGCTCCAGCCCACCTCACTGCCATTCCTGCCTCTGGCACTGGCCTGCTGGCTGACCTTGGATGAGTCCCATCACGCCGTTCTGTGCCTCAGTTTCCCCATCTATAAAACGGTGATAATGATACTTCTCTCCCTTTCTCAAGTGCTTCGGGATCTAGTCACGAACACTGCGACACAAGAGCTTGGTGTTAGCACCATTTAGCCTAGCAGACAAGGTTCAAAATTTGTGAATGTTTCTCGTGAAATAGTTGTGCAAGTCTCAAGAAGGGACACCTTTTTTGGTTTCTTTGACATTTTGCATGAGCGCTTTAATTGAAAATTCGGGGTTAAAAATTCCTTTTTTTCTTGTTTCCCCCAGTTTGTGGCTGAAAAAAAGGGGAGGGGGAGGGGACAGAAATGGAGGAGTGGGACGTCATTTTTTCCTAAACAATTTTTTATTACAAACATGGAATTATTTCAAAAAAATGTAATAAACCAGTTTTCCCCCTTACTTCCTGCAATTATCGATGGGATGACTTGTGATGGTGAAGTTAAGTACATAAGTTCAGTATTTGCTGGTTTGGAATCAAGGTCTCTAAACCTGGTTGAAAACAAGTAACTACTATTTTTGGTGAGAATTTTCAAGAGAATTTCATAAAGGGAAGGGTTTTGTTTGTTCTGTTTCTTCGGTAGTTTTCACCACAAGTGTGAAACAAAGAGTTTCCCACTTTCAAAAATGCTGAAAACTGACATTTTTCCGTGTCTCTCCCCCCATCCCCCACATTCTTCTTCTGAGAAGAAGGGAGGGGGAATGGAGGAGAAAGAAGGAAACAACCCTCCAAGAATTGAGTTTTTCATTTAAAACAAAAATGGAAAACTGAAGGGGGGAAAAAAGCAAAATTTTCATCCAATTTTCTTTGTCGACATTTTTTGATAGAACTGGCTCCGATTTTTTCTAACTGGCTTTATTTTGCCAGCAGCTGGTTACAGATGGCCTGAGGATATTTCCCAGGGCCGAAATTCCCACCTGCGCTTCCCAGATTCATATGTTTCATCTGCTTCCCCACTTCCCCCACATCTGCTCTGGTTGCTTCGAGGGACCATGTGGGGACGATCAAGGCCTTGTCCCTGAGAAATGCCTTGAATTCTGCAGGGATGCAAGTGTTCACAGGCAACATGCGGGTCCTGCTGCCACAGGCCCTAATTCAGTGAGGCGCTTAAGCATGGTGCTTAACTTTAAGCACATGGCTTAGCCCGAAGAGGAATGATCTTGCGCTTAAGAGTTAAACTGTGGGCTTAAGTTTTGGGTCAGGACTTTTCTGGCTCCCAGCTCGGCCACAGGTTAGCCAAATCTCGCAGACCTTGGCTAACAAGTTTCCGAAGTGGCCTGTAATTTGGGTGGACCTGCTGTAGGGGGCGCTGCCGGGGGCAGTAGGGACAGGACTTGGCTGTGATGACTATAAAGGAAGGATCTTTACTGTGGCTGCTGGACCCGGACTGACCCTGTGGTCCCCCTGGGGATTGTAGCTCCTGGCCTGTGCTGCCTAATTGCACCACTAGGGGTCGCACTAAGACTAGTCGGCTTCTTGATGTTCATTGAAGGCTCTGAAGTTTTACACTGTTTTGGTTTTGAGTGCAGTTATGTAACCAAAAAAAAATCTACATTTGTCAGTTGCACTTTCACGACAAACAGATTACACGACAGTACTTGTATGAAGTGAACTGTAAAATAATTTTTTAAAATCATTTTTACAGTGCTAATATTTGTAATAAAAATCATATACACTTTGATTTCAGTTACAACATAGAAGACTATATGAAAATGTAGAAAAACATCCAAAATATTTAATAAATTTCAATTGGTATTCTATTGTTTAAAAGTGCGATTAAAACTGATTAATCGTGATAAAATCTTTTAATCGTGATTACTTTTTTTGAGTTAATCGCGTAAGTTAACTGTGATTAATCGACAGTCCTTCTATCTATCTATCTATCTCCATACAACCCCTCTATCTAATCTAATCTATCTATCTATCTATCCCCATACACACTCTATCATCTGTCACCCTCTCTCTCAGACAATATAATATGGAGATATACCTATCTCATAGAACTGGAAGGGACCTTGAAAGGTCATCAAGTCCAGTCCCCTGCTTTCACTAGCAGGACCAAGTACTGTCCCTGACCGTTTGGTTTTTTTTGGCCCCAGATCCCCAAATGGCCCCCTCAAAGATTAAACTCACAACCCTGGGTTTTGAAGGCCAATGCTCAAACCACTGAGCTATCCCTCCCCTAATATGTGGTCATATTATATGTTATATTAATTTGTACTAGACATTATATTATAGACAAGATTACGTTGAATTTTGCTTGTTCTTGCTCACTGATGTCAAGGCACATATCCCAGAATACCCTGCCCCAGTTTATATCAGTTTTGGCTCTAGCGAATGTAAGATGTGCCAAAGCACCGGGGCAGGAAGATATTGTAGCAGGGCTGTGAGGCCGGGTGTTCATGGCTCCTCCATACTTGGAATGTAGCATCCAAACGCGACATGGAAAAGGGAGGTACCAAAGGTGGCGCTTGCAGGAACTCGTGCGTTGAACTTAAACTTCAAGAGATTTACAGGGGCTTTTAGCTTGTAAACAACCATAATATAAACTGAAGTGGGTCTGAGGGTGAATCTTGGAACAACACCTACCGAGTAAGGTCAACATTCCCTGAAAAAGTTTCCTGAAAGGGTTGGTGTTATATTGAGTCTTTCTGTTCTGGGTTGTATTGCCTTGTCTTGGGACTGGTCCACACTAACCCCCCACTTCGAACTAAGATACGCAACTTCAGCTACGTGAATAACGTAGCTGAAGTTGAAGTATCTTAGTTTGAACTTACCACGGGTCCACACGCGGCAGGCAGGCTCCCCCGTCGACTCCGCATACTCCTCTCGCGGAGCAGGAGTACCGGCGTCGACGGTGAGCACTTCCGGGATCGATCCGGGATCGATTTATCGCGTCTAGACAAGACGCGATAAATCGATCCCAGAAGATCGATTGCTTACCGCTGGACCCGGAGGTAAGTATAGACGTACCCTTAGGCAATCAACTCAGTTAAGCTTGGTTATTTGGTCTCCTGAACATTTTTAATACCCAGCTACAAGTGTAGCTGAGACGTTGGCTACACATTTTAATGAGGCGTTGCAGAATTCAAGGTTTTTTTTTTTTATAATGTTGATTTTTACTTTTAAGAATTATTTTCGGTTTTTATGGATTGAAATGCTCAGAGTTGAGGGAAATAATGGGAGATCAGACAATTGTTTAATGCCAATAGATGCTGAGATTTAAAAAAGTTAAAACTTCATAACTGTTAAAACACAAACTGGCGACATCATGTGTCAAAATACAAAAAGGAAATAGCCTTAAATCAATAACTTGTACCTGTTGGTACTATTTGTTCGCTGGTCCATTTGTAAAAAATCTAATTTAAAAATCTAAACCAAGCAGCAGTTTTGTATTCCACCTATTATTACATTTTAATATGCCAGGTGGAAATATTATTTGTAGGTTTATGTGTGTACAGTGAAATCGATTTTTATCAACGCTTACTGCCACAAATCGAATCCTCCCAAGCCTAATTTTAATTAATAATTGGCAAGCCGGCTAGGGGACTATTAGCCAGTATTAGCCACACCAGCTGGAACTGAGTAGCAACCCGGTCATTTGGATTTTGGCTGGTAATCTCTGGGAAGAAACTTCCAGGCATCGAAAGAAGGAAAGATAAACTTACAAATAACAGATGGTCAACTACATTTCAACCTACCATTTACAGACAATTAAGAATGCAATCAACTATAAACAGAGGTCTAACTGTTCCTTAAATGTGTTTTATGGAGCTCAGTGAGGTTATGCATATAATTGCGGTTTTCAATTGTTTGCATTGGAATGTGGATGAACTGGGTTATTGTGGAAAAGGAAATGTGTAATTGGTTTACACTTCTTCGTTAATTAATATTGTAGCATCTTATCAGGAACCTGCACAAAACTCAATATAAGGGCAAGAGATTATTCCACAGTCTGGTTCTTCTGAGCTATGTGACTCCAAATTTCACATGGATTGATTGGTTCCATTTCAGGATTATGTGGATCTTGGATGTCCATTTGGGACAGGGCTGATGTGGAAAATATCAAAAGACACGCTAACTATTTTGAACATTGATGACATTGAGGCACTGGCTACTGAGGAAGAGGACGGTGTATAATATGCATGACATTGCTAAGCTGTTTAACCAAACCCAGGTAAAAAACAACAAATTAATTGTAATAAATAAGGTGAAGGCAAGGAAAAATTGTGTCATTAGAGAAATTATTTGAGGTGCTTATGGGACGTATATGCTAATTACCGTAGCCAGCCCATGGGGGATAATGAAAAAGGAAATTTGCCTGATCTTATTAAAGGTGAGCAATTAGCCAAGTGGTCTTGTTTCAGTGCAGGGGTGGGCAAACTTTTTGGCCCAAGGGCCACATCGGCGTTGCGAAACTGTACGGAGGACCGGGTAGGGAAGGCTGTGCCCCCCCAAACAGCCTGGCCCCGGCCCCCTCCCACTTCCTGCCCCCTGACTGCCTCATGGCGGGCCATGATTGCTCACGAAATTAACAATTCAGAGATATTTAAATAAACTCTATTTAATAAAGAGACATTTTAGTGGAAATAAACACAAAACCTTACTTATTATTATAAATATACCATCATAACAACATATTACAATAATTAAACCAAACGTAACCCCTTTCCACGCCCTCTTTGATTAATGTGAACAACACAGCTGGTCACCCTTTCTTTACAATGGCATCAAAGTCCCGTGTCATTCTTGCTGTGGAAATCCGCAATACCGAACCGAGATGCTGATCAGTTAACTGGGATCTGTAGCGAGATTTGTTGTAATTCAGCAGGGAAAATGTTTGTTTGCACACATAGGTGGAGCCAAACAAAACAAGGATTTTCTGTGCCACCTTGCGGATATTTGGGAACTTTGTTTCACTCAAGGAGGCATAAAACTCATCCAGTTTTTCTGGATTGTACTTTTCCTTCAAGGTGGAATCGCACTGGAGATCAATGAGCTTCAGCTGTAATTCTTGTGGAGCTTTCTTGTAGTCAAATGACAGTGGGCAAGACACCAGCTCCAGTGTCTTCTCTAACGTCTCAAAGTCAGAGAATCGACGAGAAAATTCTCTGTGCAAGTCACTCCAAATTTTGATGTGCTTTTCTTTCCGCTCTGGTGACACTTCCAAGTATTTCAGTGTTGGAAAGTGAGCGAACACTTTGTCCTTAATTTGTTTTGAAAACACGACTAGCTTGGCTTTGAAAGCTGTCACACTAGAATACAATTTGTGTAAAAACACATTCTTTCCTTGCAGGTTTACATTAAGTTCATTGAAATGTGCCAAGATAGCCACACCAAAAGTGAGGTCTCACACCCGGTTTGAATTCTTTAATTCAGGGAAATCATTTTCATTCCCCTGCATCTCCAGAAAAGGGTGAATTTCATCTCTGAGCTCCCACACTCACTGCAATAGCTTTCCTAGGCTGAGCCAGCAGACATTTGTATAATAAAGTAAGTCCTGGTATTTGGTGTCAGTGCCTTCAAGAAGGGAAATGAATTGCCAATGGTTAAGTCTCCTCACTCTTATGTAGTTCACTATTTTCACTACTGTGCAAACAACATGATCAATGTCCAGGACATTTTTGCAGAGGGCCTCCTGATGTATAATACAATGCAGAAAAATCACCTCTTTATCAGGGTCGTCTTCATTTACTTTGTCCCAAATTCTTTTTTAAAGTCCTACGTTTTTCCCCGTTAAATTTGGTGATCCATTTGTGGTTACATTTTCCAGTTTATTCCAGGGGAGCTTCAGATGTTCAAGGCACCCAGACATCTTCTCGTATAAATCTGATCCCTTAGTTGTGCCTTTCATTGATTCCATTGATAAAAATTCCACTGTGCTTTCAAATTTGTCATCAATTCCTCTGACAAAAATCAGTAACTGTGCTGTGTCCTTAATGTCAGTGCTGTCATCGAGAGCTAACGAAAACAACGTAAAGCCCTGTGCTTTCTTGTTCAACTCAGAAGCCAAATGTTCATCAATCACGTCTACATGGTGAGTAACAGTTCTTCGGGACAAGCTAATGTTCTCAAATTTGTTTTGGAATTCCGGGCACAGCATGACAGCAACATCACCCATGCATTCTTTCAAAAACTCCCCTTCAGCAAAAGGCTTATTTTGTTTAGCGATTTTAAATGCCAAAACATAACTTGCCAAATTGCAGATTGTCGCACATAAAGCTGAGTTTTTAAGTTCGTGGTGAGTGTCTCAGCTTTTCTTGCCCTTTCCTCGGTTGTTAAATTGCTGCCATAATTAGGATGTTTCATTGAAAAATGGCAATTCAAGTTGTACTCCTTGAACACCGCGATGCTCTCCTGACAAATCAGGCAAACAGCCTTCGAGTTCACGTTTGTGAAAAAATATTTTGTGTTCCATTCTTTGTTGAAAACCAGACACTCATTGTCCACTTTTTTTTTTCCCAGCACTCATTTTTGAAAGGGAAAAGAAAACCCTAACGGCTGCCCTTATTTCAAATGGCTGTTTTACAAGATGGCAGCACTGTGAAAAAACTGGGCCCCCGTCCCGGCTCCCCTGACTGGAGTGCAGTAACCCCACTGCCCCGCTCCCCCGGCCAGAACGTGGCAATCCCCATGGCCCGGCTCCTCTGGACGGAGCGCCAGGCAGAGCAGTGCAAGTCCGCAGCCCCTCTCCACCGTCCTGAGCGCGGCATGCCCGCGGACCTGCTCCCTGGGACGGAGCAAAGCAAGCCCCTGACTCCACTCCCCGGGATGGAGTGCAGCAACCCCACGGCCCCTCTCTCCCGGTCTCAGCGTGGCAAGCCCGCAGCCCCGCTCCCCCAGCCGGAGAGCTGCAAGCCCCACGGCCCAGCTCCCCTGGCCGGAGCGCGGCAAGCCCCACTCCCGTGGTCAGTGCCCCAGCCAGAATGCTCCAAGCCCACGGCCCTGCTCCCCTGGCCAGAGCGCCGTAGTTTGCCCACCCCTGTTTCAGTGTATAGCAGAGACTATTGTGAATGGGCAATGCATTAAATCATATACACAAATTCCATTGAGCACAATTCATCATTTGGGGTCAGTGACACTGCAGCCTAATTGAGGCTCATGCTAGTTAAAAGGGCCATGGTCAGTCCAGGTTCCATGTATGTGTGTTTACCAATATGGGATCCTGACACTACAAATATGGAATAAGTCGATTACTGTCCATTCAGTAGGTTACCGGGAAGACAGCATCTACAAGGACCTACCTCAAATACCGGTGAGTAGAGAGGACCTCGTAGAAGAACTAGGTGGAGAGGAGAGCCTTGCTTTGAGTGATCAACTAATTCAGTTCAAACAGAATGGCAGGGTAAACAAACATAGGGCTGCCATGAGGGCCCGTGATTTCAAAAGGGCAAACTTTCAAAACCTGAAGGGAATTAGTTAGGGACATGGACTGGCCCGAAGAACTCGAGGCTCTGAATGTGAAGGAGGCTGGGAATGACTTTAAGTCAAAGTCGCAGAAGCTCTCTGAAGCCTGAGATGCAGGCGAATAATGTAGGGCCAGATAGTCCACCAATATTGGTTTGTCTTTCAGCAGCGCAAACCCGAAGGGCATCGTGTGTGGCTTCTTCTATCTCTGAGGGGCAGGAAGATGTGTCAGCACAATGTTTTTGACATCACAACTCCAGTGTATCCTTGTGATGGACAGGACAAGTACAATGAGACAGAGAAGCCAGCTGGTCCTTATGCCTTTAAGAAGCTTAAAAAGTGGTGAGGCCTACTAGTAAGGGTGACCTATGCAGGGACAGTCCTGTTAACCAATATATGCTGGTGAGCACAGATAGATAGATAGATATAGATCTCTTATTAATAAGATTTATTTTAAGCAGTATATTATATATACAGATTAGTATGCATTATGCACAAATAGCACTAAGCACAAATATTATAGCAGTCATGTAGCCTAAACTGGCCTCCACCTTTCCTATAATCCTGTTCCCGTATGCTAAGTATCCCACAGCACCGTGCATTAGCCGAAGTTCGCTTTGGCTGAAGGAGACAGGAGAGCTGCCAGGATTAGGACGTAGGAGTATTTTATCATAGCAACGAGTTGGGAGTTATTCTCACAGGCCTGCACTGGAGTAGCCCATAGGAAGAGGACAAGACATAGATTGTTCTACCCTTGTGCAGACCTAGAGGGCACCAGCTGTGATGCAGGTGCATGGAACCAGAAAAACAAGGGGGGAAAGATGAGGGGTTAACTCTACGTTTGAAGGGTGCATACTGTACTTTGTACCTGTAAACAGGTCGAGTATAAATAGATGATTACGGGGTGGAACCTTGGAAATCCCCCTTTTTTTATGAGGTAAATGTGACAACGCTGCACGTGATGGGATTGTATTGAAACTTTTCCCTGTTTCCTTATTGGCTTAGAGCAATAAACCTAACCGCCATTGGTTATTTGCTCTCTGGGCTATATTTCATAACAACCCAAAGGGTGGTCAAGCCACTGACTATCAACGGTACTGGTAGTACTCTGTGATAGCTAATTATAAGTCATTTGGGTATGTAACCCTTCTGTCCATCTGAGTTGGCAGCAACAAGGGCCGGGTTCAGTATCTAGGGGTTCCGTTTCAATAACGCAATGCAAAACCGGCTCGAGCCCCCACCCAGTGACCTGGGACAATTACATACCAGCCCCCTGGGCACCTCTAAGAGGCAATACTTCCCCTCTCGCAAGCACGGAGTCTGAGTGTAGCAAAAGCCTTTTAATAAAGGAGGGAAACAATGCGGCATTATGTTGGGGAAACACCACAAACAGGATTCATAACACAAACCATGAGCAGGATCTTAAGTCCAGCCACCCACAAAATCACCCAAAGTCCCAACAGTCCCACACCCCAAAAGTCTCTTGAGTCCAGCAACCCAAAAATCACCCAAAAGTCCAACAACCCAAAAGTCTCTGTGCCTGGTCAATGCAGCCCTAGAGTTCAAAAGTTTATCCCCAGAGTTTTACCCCCCCAGCCTGCATGGAAATGGGGGGGGGCATTAAGGGGCACCTTACGTGGTCCAAGGCCGGCTGCCCCGCCTCTCCATGGGGTTCTACTGCAGCCTTCACCGCAAGCCGCTCCACCAGCCGTCCTGTGAGCTGCTCCAGCCATCCTGCAAACTGCTCCACTATGCCGGCCGCTCCGCTTCACTTCACTCCACTCGCCATCCTGCAAACTGCTCTACTCTGCCAGCCGCTCCCCTCTGCTCCACCAGCCATCCCATGAGCTGCTCTAACCATCCCACAAAGTGTTCTGCTCTGCCAGCTGCTTAGCAATAGATCTTCAGGCCCCCTGACTACTTAACACAGCACTCAGTGATTTCAGCTTCTAGTAGTGGAGCCCCACTGCTGGTGCACTATTGGCCCAAAATGAATTCAGCTCAGCAACCTGTAACTAAACTCCTAATGGAATCAAAATTAGCTCTGACATTCAACAGTGGAGAGAGAAGGAAGTGGCATTGGTTTTTCAGGCCTTCAAAGGGGGCCCATACCATCAAGTACAAATAGCTATCCCCAGCCTCTCTCAATTCACTGGGTTTTGGAACTCATGTCCCTTGTCTAGCGAGTGCTAATTAGTTGATGGCGAGTCCCTCTGTCATAAAACAGTTCCACTGTCCTTGATTCACATAATCAGGGTAACAACTTCCTGCCCCAATAACAGAGAAACTGGGGATCCCACAGCAGCCAAAATGACCATTTTTGGCTGCTGTGGGCTCATGCTAGGCGGGGTGGGTGTGCCTATGCAAACAAGATCAGCCCCTGAAGTTCTTTTGCACAACTCGCCACAATTTACCACCAGATGTCAGGGTAGAGCTCCTCCTGACTCTGCTTACAGGTATAAAAAACTTGCTTGTGCTGCCACAACTCCAAATTTCTGTTATTCCTCGTGTGTAAGGCTGTGGGTCAACCTCTACTAATGCCTATTCCAGTTTAAGGAGTGATCATTTTACCTGTATTAATTATGTATTGCCACTTCCGTAGTTTGCAAAAACAGTATAAGTCTCAGGTAAATGCTCTTACCTCTGCGTCACAGATCAGTTTGGTAAAATAATATTAAATCGTTATTAAATTAACTATTTAATAATAACCACAGTACCAAGCAGGGTACTGTTAGCTAATCTATATATGTTAGACGTACGGCATACCGTATTAATATTCTGTTATACCCAGCACGAGGGTAGTTATGTTAATGGAATTATATGTCTTTCCACAGTGCTGTTCACTGGTATGTCCCACAATGCCTCGGACTGGGACAACTCAGCATTTGGCATAAGTGGATCAGGAAACAGTCAAAGCAAGATACATTTGTTTGATGTCCCAGCACAGCCAACTTTACGCGCAACTGGCTTAAAATGCAGTGTCCATAATGGAGATAAGGAAAGGATCTTAGGAGGCGAGTCTGGGCTTTCTCGCTTGTTAGAAACCCTGCTACACATAGAAGTGCTTTTGGGAGTGTATTTTGAACCAGCTGTTCTGTGTAACGTGAATGGAAAACGCTGAGAGAAACAAGCGTCCCAAAGAGATCGTGTAGTATAAACTCTTTCCTTTCTGTATTGGCCTAGCTTGTCTTCGACAATAAAATTGGCTGAGTTTGGTTACTTGGTCTAGGGAACATTTTTCATAACAAACCAGCCATGTCACTCCATTGAATTTTCCTTCTGAAAGGCAGTTTCTTTGACTCAAACCCTATCAAGGGAAAGAGTTGGAAAGGTCATTTGGGATGAATGCTGGCAGAATTCCACTGCCTACAGAGGAAGGGACCAAACCACCTTCTCTTCAGTATCTAGAGGGTGAGGTAAAGCATGTCTTCTTTCTGTATTCTTTGTAGCACGGTATTCATTTGATTAATAATTTTTGATTTAATAATTGCACTTTTACCTAATAGGCTTTAATCTGCAATTATTAGCAAATTCAAACATGCAATAAATTGGAGACCCTGATGTGATTGTCAGTAACAGGATCATTTGCACCTGGATTACCTGGGCTAATGATGTATGTTTTCCAATAGAGGCTCGGATCAGTATAAACATGTTTTATTCTACTGTTATGAAGCCTGAGTGAAGAGCTCGCTGACGTATTGCCAGGTGCATTGGGGTGGAATGGGGAAGAATACATAAAACAATCAGAAAGTCTTAAAAATGTTGTCCGGCAATGGGAAAATACTAAAGGATTGTATAATAAACAATGTTATTAATGAAGGAACTCCTCTGTCTGCATAACGAGCAATGAATAAAAGCAACCCTTGGAAATCTGTTTGTCAATGGGTTAAAAAGGATGCAGAGGGAAAAGATAAAAAGCACATAACGAATCAGGAGACGCTTTCATTTGTGCAGGTGGCAAAGTGTAACAGTAACTTTGTGCCGGATCTCTGTGTACAGCACAACGCGAGAACAAAGATACAAAGGCAAACGGCCAAAACCAGGCTCTTGCTAGCAGGCAGGAAATCACAGTAAATCATGCAACAGCCAGATGGAGATTAAAGGAGCAAATTAGAGAATTAAAGCAACAAAGAGAGGGTGTGAGTAAATGAAATACCACCGTGTCTTGTCCTGTGCAGGAGTGGGAGAGTTTCATGCACAGAGCTGTTGGCAAGCTAAAGAGAAGGGACAGGTCAGATTGTTCAGAACACAGTCTCCAATCCCGTCTTCCCCCACCTCTGATGTTTTTTTCTTTCTCTTAAACTTATTTGTAGCTACAGTTTATGCATCTGTTCCCTCTCCGCTCACCTTGCTGGCTGATTTACTTCTGTGGGTTTTGGAAATGCTCAGACAAATTCCTGCCTTTCTAAACTTCTTTAATGGGTACCCACTTGGCTTATCTATTCCTATGGTCTTACATGATTTCTCTCACCTTACAGTATTTTTGTGTAAGGACGGGGAAGAGGGAATCCTTCAAGTTCTTTCCTCTGTAGCATGATACAGCCTACAGAACTGTTACTGCTTTATTTTGTTATTTCAAATACAGAAAAAAAACCACCTGTGTTAATTTGACTAACTTTTAGATTTGGGGAATGTGTGTTTTGTTTGCAAAGGCTTCTCTTGTCTCAACCCCGGCTTTCCCCACTTCCTCTGTTTTTAAAGAAAAGCTCATAGGTCTGGTTTTGCAAAGAGTTAAAGAGGAAGGGGAGGAGAGAATAAATCATTTGATGTGAATGGTAACACCTATTGTGTGGCACTCAGCCCTGTAAAACCACAATGCTTCATTTGTAAAAATACAGTGTCATCCAAAATAAGAAATCAGGTCCAAATAAAAATAAAATAAAATAATAATTAACAAAGTACCAAAATGCTAAAAATAAAAGTGCTTAAGTAAGTCCAGTAAAACTAATGATTTTAACTCTTTTTAAATCCTAAGGTCAAACATGTAATATGCTTTTCAAGCAATAAAATATAGAATGACTTTCAAGCAGCAAAACGGTAACTATTGTTTATTTTAAATCCTCGCATAACTATTAAACTCTCATCCCTTTTTCTATATAGCAGTACTCACAAGGTAAGAGCAATCTAAATTGCATTGTCAATTAAATTAGTACAATTAAAGGGACAAAGGAATTAATATAAAAAGGAATGAACTTTGATTGAAAGATTTAAATAAAGGGTCACCTGCCTAATCAATTGTTTTGGTTTTTGTTTGTTTTCTAGCATGCATTGTTTTCATTCATTTGTCCTGTAAGTGGAGCAACATTTGTCTTGTCCTATACATGTGTTATATGTTTGTGTGTGTCACATAATTATTTTGCTGCTTCCTCTTGCAACAATATCATCCGCAAACCTGTCTGCCAGAAAGAGTTTCACAATCACTCTTCCCTCTTCCATGGGCGAGTGAAATGGGCACTGTTATTGTCTAGCCTACCCCCTGTATGATAATAACTTGTACCTGGCCATGGGTACTTCAGAGGAGCGCTTCGAGCTCTAAATAAGCTGGTGAAGCTGCCACACAGGGCCGGCTCCAGGCACCAGCCCACCAAGTGTGGGCTTGGGGTGGCGCCTGGAGGGGGGCGGCGCGGCGGGGCGCTCCGGCCCGAGAGCGGGGCCCCGGCCGGGCTCGCCGCCCTCCCCTCGGCGCTCCGGCCGGTCGGGGAGAGCGGAGAGTCCTGGTCGGGCTCTCCGCTCCGCCCTGCTCCCAGTGCTCCCGGGCTCGGCGCCCTCCCCTGCCGCAATGGGGGGGGCGGCCGGTGGCTTTTTTGCCTAGGGCGGCAAAAAAGCCAGAGCCGGCCCTGCTGCCACAAGAGGCTGATCTGAAATGTCACCCAGCCAAGGCGCATCTGCTCACTCAGTTTCATTTTAGAAATTACCTTGTCTAGAGACAAACAGACACCATCTCAACAGCAGGGAGACCTACATTTGCATTCACCTTTGCCTGTCCGCGTATCTGCCTTAAAATCTATTCTAGGCCTTATGGGCTACAGCAGAAGTGCTATACCTGCCTCAGTCAAAGTGGTGCTGGACAGAGGCCCACACAAAGGCAGTTGCTGTTATGAAAAAAAACCTGTAACTTCTGTGGTAGTTCTGGTCCCGCCAAACCTTTCCATCAGGAGGTTACTCCAAACAAAACAGCGCTATTGCTTTTTTGTGTACGCTCGACTCAGCCCACTACGCAACGCTCTGCTGTGGTGTGTGCACTGAAACGCCTCGCTTCGTCTCATCTGCAGTTGCTTTTCCTATCTAATTCAACAGGGCTCTGTAACACCCTGGCAGAATTCCTCCCTTTCTGGAGGAAAACGAAGGAGAAAGAAGGAAATGTCCCTCCAAGAACTGAGTTTTTCATTTTCAACATCAAAAGTTTTTGTTGGAAAAATTTGAGCCAGTTTCAGCAGTGGTTGCATTTCGACGGGAGTTGGTTGCAGATGGCCTGAGACTATTTCTCAGGGTAGGAAATCAAACCTGCACCTCCCAGACTCAGGGCTCTGTTCCCAGCTCTGTTACAAAACCTCCCTCGCAGACCTTGGCCGACAGTTTCCAAAGTGGCCCGTAATTTATGTTCACCTGCTCTAGGGGTGCTGCCACTGGCAGAAGAGGTAGATGTTTGTTGTGATGGATGTAAATAGACTTGGAAGGATAAGATTTTCATCAGTAAACATTAATCAACGTCGATTTCACCAGACACACCCAACCCAATGAATAGATATTTGCATCAAAATCACAAATTTTTCCAATAGGCTTAGTAAGAAAAATGCTGGTTGAGAATTTATTAGAGTTTGATTTTAGGCTCTTTGCTTTGCATATTCTGACAGGTCATATTGACAATTTGTGCTTTAACAGTTAGAAAACTTTAACTTTTTGAATCTCAGCATCTTCTGCCATTACATCATTATGGCCCTCCATTATTTCCCACAACTGTGGAAATTTAAATGGATAAAAATAGAAAAAAATGCTAAAAAATAATGATTTCTATTATCCATTGAAATAAAAAAAGCTAAAAATAAAATTCAGCGAACCCTAGATATAAAAAGATGCGTTATCGAGAATTGTGCTGCCTGATTTCACCCCTAGGGGCTCACCCTAAGATTAAGCAGGCCCACCCACTAGAATTAAAATTTCCCCCATCAAAATAAATTTAAAATTTTCCAAAGAACTTGGTCTCTGGTTTGTTTTATTCAGTGCAACAAAATAAAGGGGAAGCAAATCCGGCTGGGAGCCCCGAGCCCCTGGAAGGGGACAGTGGCTGCAGAGAGGGGCAGACGCAAGCAGAAAGGGTGTTATTGAGTGTGGTATGGCCATTGCATGGGTGGGGGATCAGGAGAGGAACTGCATGAGGAGGAGCCCAGCGAGGGCTGGGATGAGGAGCCCGACTGGGCCCCGTGCTGTTCCAGGTGCTTTGCATTTGAGAGTTAGATTCGTACTGACCCCTGCAAAGGACCCCGAAGCGTCTGTTATATGTGCACAGACAGCCTCAGTAGCGCAGCCCTTCATGATCATCGATGTGGCTGTTCCACCTGTGTGGGAAGGAAAAGCAGGTGATGAGTGTCAGGGAGCAAATCCACTCCTTGACAGGTTTGGGACACAGTAGCCTCTCCTGCCTCTCCTCTCCTCCTCAGAGCTTATTCCAGGTCTCTCACAGCCTCCATCTCCCCATCTCCTCTGCTCTCCACAGCTGTCTGGCCCTGGATCGGAGCAGGCCTATTAGCCACAACATTCACTTATCAAAGCAGCAGCTCACTGTTGGTGTTAGCAGTGGGATCTCTAAGAGGTTTTTGTGGCACCATGATGGGACTCTGCAATCTAGGTTCAGTTCCCAGCTCTGCCACAGTCTTCCTGTGTGACCTTAGGCACGTCTCCTTGTGTCTCTGTGCCTCAGTTTCACCATCTGTGAAATGGGTAAAATGCTTCTTCTGCCTGTTTGGATTGCAAGCTCTTTGACTCAAGAACTGCCACAATGAACTTGTTCAGTGCCTGGCACAACAAGGGTCTCCCATTTCTGTCTGGGTCTGTGCAGCACCTGGCCCAGGGGATGCACTGCTACAGAATGGGAACAGAATTGCTAGGCAGCAGTTCTGCAGAAAAGGACCTAGGGGTCACAGTAGACGAGAAGCTGGATATGAGTCAACAGTGTGCCCTTGTTGCCAAGAAGGCTAACGGCATTTTGGGCTGTATAAGTAGGGGCATTGCCAGCAGATCGAGGAACGTGATCGTTCCCCTTTATTCGACATTGGTGAGGCCTCATCTGGAATACTGTGTCCAGTTTTGGGCCCCACACTACAAGAAGGATGTGGAAAAATTGGAAAGAGTCCAGCAGAGGGCAACAAAAATGATTAGGGGGCTGGAGCACATGACTTATGAGGAGAGGCTGAGGGAACTGGGATTGTTTAGTCTCCAGAAGAGAAGAATGAGGGTGGATTTGATAGCAGCCTTCAACTACCTGAAGGGGGGTTCCAAAGAGGATGGAGCTCAGCTGTTCTCAGTGGTGGCAGATGACAGAACAAGGAGCAATGGTCTCAAGTTGCAGTGGGGGAGATTTAGGTTGGATATTAGGAAAAACTTTTTCACTAGGAGGGTGGTGAAGCACTGGAATGGGTTACCTAGGGAGGTGGTGGAGTCTCCTTCCTTGGAGGTTTTTAAGGCCCGGCTTGACAAAGCCCTGGCTGGGATGATTTAGTTGGGGATTGGTCCTGCTTTGAGCAGGGGGTTGGACTAGATACCTCCTGAGGTCCCTTCCAACCCGGATATTCTGCGATTCTATGATCCCAATACTCAGACATGCCCTACCACAAAGAGCGTACAGATTAAACTCTAAGTGGGCAAAAGGTGGGCATGGAAGCAGAGACAAAGAAAGGGGAAGCAACTGGACCAACCTCACACAGGAGATGGCACTGGAAATAGGACCCAGGTGTCCTGATGTCCAGCTGATATCTTTACCCAGCAGACCCCGCAGCATCCTGTCCTAGGGTAGGAGTTTGGGACAGATTTGAAACCTGGGGTCCAAAGGCCTGAACTGAACCATGTGCCAGCCAGGAATGGACTCTGGGAACAAGAAGTGGTAAGTGGTTTTCCCCGGGGAATCTCTAGGGTGAGGTTAATGCACATTCCCCAGCCCTGGTTACTCCAGAAACAGCTCTGCAAAGCTACACTGGGAAGGGGGCACCTTTGTCTGCTGATCCCCTGGGACATGAGGCCAAGACGAAAGGTCCAAGTTGTAGGAAGGAACGACTGAGCTAGTCATCAGAGCTCTGAGACTGTTATTAACTTGTAACAACAATGAAACCCCAATCGTTGGGATTGACCCTAGCAGAGCCCAAGGCTGGAGGTGGGGTGACCTCAGGGAAAGTTTCCAGCTTACAGGTCCTTCCATTGTTTTCAATCATTGGTTTCTCTGCAATGCTCTCTCCTTCAGCATGAAGGTACTTGCTTAGGAAGCACTGTGGGGTAGCTCACAGCTGTGGGCCATGACACTGTTGCACTGCTGGCCCGTTAGGCAGTCTGGCTTGCTGGGGCTATCACAGTGTTGGCAGGGGACTGTGTAGCCGTAAAGAACTCCCCTGTAGTGGGGCGGTCACCCCGCTCAGGGAAAGAAGGGGTTAAAAGCAGCCCTTAGGGAGGGCTGCGGCTGGGAGCCAATTGGAGAGGGCCTGGAGGCAGCCAATCAGGGCCAGGTTGGGCCCTATAAAAGGCTGCAGGGCCAGAAGACAGTCAGTCTCTCTCCAGCCTTAGAGAAGGAAGGACTGGCTGTCTGCTAGCAGAAGGGGTACCTGGGACAGAGCAGTGCTGGGGAAGGGCAGGAGGAGCTAGGCAGCTCCAACCTGGCAGACTCCCAGGCCGAGGCCTTGCCTCCAAGGTCTCAAGGAGGTACTAGGGCTGCAGAGGGGCAGCCCGGGGTAGGAAAAGGCAGCTGATCCAGCCCCCTGACTGATGATGAGTGGCCATTTCAGACTGATTTGCCCCTGAGGGACGGGGCGAGATGAAGACTGGCAGTGGGTCACTGAGGTGAGGTGGGCTTAGGGAATTGGGGTTCCCCAGAGGGGGGAGTACCCCTGAGTGTGGGGCAATGCTGCGGGGAAGTACCCAAGAGAAGGGACACCATGGATAGGAAGGGACGCGGGGCCTGAAGTGAAGCACGGTGGAGATTTGGAAGAAGCAGGCGACGGCAGAAGAGACACCGGCCAGTGGAGGGTGCCCCAGAGCTGGAACTGAGCTAATTCCCAGGTGTAACCAGCAGGAGGCACCACGGCAGGGAGTCTCGCCTCGCTACACCCCTGGTCAGCAGGGTTAAAGACACAGGTGTCCCCCCAAGGGAAGTGAGTGCGGAGGAGCCAGGAGCCCAGCGTGGGATCCCTGAGGAACCCTGACAGGGGAACACAGGTGCAGTTTCCTTGAACTGTGAACAACAAAGGAAAAATAACCCAAAAATAAATGAAGGGAAGTTACCCGTTGTTACAGTCGCAGCAACCTCAATGCATCGGGTCTCAGCTCCAGTACAATATATGATCTCTTCATTGCATTGAGCATAGAGCACAGCGATGCAGGCTGGGCAGCTCCGGCCATTGGGTTTGGTGTCAGCCGGGGGCACTGGGAAGAAGCGGAGCAAACGCAGTCAGCTCGGGGGACGAGCCCCAGGCGGCGGCGGGGCAGGGAGACCAGCTGGGGGCTGCACAGCTCAGCCCTGGGTGCCCCCTGCAGGGGGAGCTGTAGCTCTGGGGACGCCGGGGGCAGCAGGGGCCGGGGAGAGGTTTGCAGCAGGGAGCCCTGGACCTCGCCCTGGGTGGGGTCAGCTGGGTTCACACCTGGTGGGAGGCTAGAGCCCCACCCACTAAACTCCACCCACCCAGCCAGGGGCTCAGCATTATTCCATGGGGCGCCCCCTGCAGGGCGGGAGGACCAGTCTCAGGAAATTATACTGGGGCAGGTTCCAGGCAGCCGGAGGTGCAGGGAATGGGGGAGGAGAGGCAGAGCTGGGGATAGGTACCTGTAACGGTGGTGGTTCTGCAGGCGTCTCCCACACAGCAGGCGATGCCGTACTTCATTGTCACTCCATTCCCAAAATTCATAGTGAGGGGTCCAACTTTACAACTTCCTGATGTCATACAGCCCTTGACAATGCCCTGTTGCTTCATTCCCGCTGCATAGGAGAAGATGTAGATTTATTCCCCTTCCACTCCCACCCCATCAATGCCCTCTGCACAGTGACGGCCCTATGCCATTATCCTACCTCTACCCATGGGGAAACTAAGGCATGGAAAAGGAGAAGGAAATTCTGAAGGAACTCAAATATAAAATTGCAGAGCTACTCACTGTGGTATGTAACCTATTGCTTAAACCAGCCTCTGGAACAAATGGCAGAGGGTAGCTAATGTAATCGTGATTTTTAAAAGAGGCTCTAGAACGGTAGTGCCAGAACTAGAGGGGATCAGAGCCCTCCCGATTTTTAAAGTGGAGGGACGTGGCACATACACTTTTCACTAGGGTAGATCTTGCCTCTTTCCCCTCCTCTTCCCCCCAAGGCCCCACCCTCCAACCAGGCCAGCACCCTGGTGGAGCCCAGCCAGGGAGCCCAGGCAGTTTGAGGAGCAGTGCGGACCCTCCACCTGCCCATAGTGCAGGGCTCCAAGAGGAGTTCCTGGCCTGTCACCCTGCCTCCCAGTCTCCCCACGCGGCCCAGGGCAGGTGGAGATGGAGGGTCCATGACTCTGCGCCGGCTCCCCACATCTGACCATGTGGGTCTCTCCAACCTGACTCTGGCCAGGGGGAAGCCTCAAAGCCACCACCTGGCATGGTAAGGGTCATAGGGGCAGCTGTGGGGAGCCTCCCTCTGCCTTGGTGTGGGGCCCAGGGAATGAGGACATGGGCTGGGGGCTGCTCTCAGCCCTACCTCACTCTGGGTGGGGGTGGAAGGCTCCCCAGCTCTGCTCCAGCTTCTGGCTTGTCTGGAAGCAGGGCCTCTAGGGGAAAAGGGGGGTGGGCCCTTGCGGGGGAGGGGTTGGGGTAGGACCTCAGGGGGCAGGGCCTCAGGAGGCAGGGGCCCCAGGGCCTCCCACTTTTGGGATAGCTCTGGTGCCCTTGCTCCAGAGGCAATCCTGGCAATATAAGCCGGTAAGTCTGAATTCAGTACCAGGAAAATTGGATGAAGCTATAGTAAAGAACAGAATTATCTGAAAAATAGATGAGTACAATATGTTGGGGAAGAGTCAACATGGCTTTTGTAAAGGAAAATCACGCCTCACCAATCTATTAGAATTCTTTGTTGGGGTTGTGACACGACACCCCCTATTCATCATGGGGGCATGATTATGACATAATTATGATGCAATTTGTACAAGATGAGTCATATTAGGAGTCATTGGAAAAGTCAGGATTTGCTGAATGTGATTATTTTTTGGGCATGTGTCATTTTGTATCTGAAGTTATGAATATTGATTATGTACCTGTATTTCATATGTGCTTGCTCTGTGTAACACCCACAGCTAGCCTTTCAAATACAACAATGGAGAAGCTCGACAGTGCTGATGGCCCATCAGCAAAGACAATTTGAATGTAAGAGCTTAGCCTTCCTGTTAAGGTTTCAGCAAGCCTGTAAATAATGGCTGCCATGACTCAGCAAGGGCATGTGACCAGATCACATGACACTGAACTCTATTTTGGGTACCTGTATTTTTCAGCAAACTGGGCTGGGAATGGAATTTGAAACAAAGGGTTCCTGACATATATTAAAGCTATATAAGGTGGAGTGTGAAATCCCACCTTATATAGCTTTGAATGAAGAGGGAAAAACAATAAGAGAAAATGTGGAAATGGCAGAGGTGCTTAATGACTTCTTTGTTTCGGTTTTCACCAAGAAGGTTGGTGGCGTTTGGATGCCTAATATAGGGAATGCCAGTGAAAATGTGGTAGGTTCAGATGCTGAAATAGGGAAAGAACAAGTTAAAAATTACTTGGACAAGTTAGATGTCTTCAAGTCACCAGGGCCCGAGGAAATGCATCCTAGAATACTCAAGGAACTGACTGAGGAGATATCTGAGACATTAGCTATTATCTTTGAAAAGTCATGGAAAACAGGGGCGATTCCAGAAGACTGGAAAAGAGCACATATAGTGCTTATCTATAAAAAGGGAAATAAGGGCAATCCAGGCAATTACACATCAGTCAGCTTAACTTCTGTACCAGGTAAGATAATGGAGCAAATAATTAAGGAATCAATTTGCAAACACCTAGAAGCTAATAAGGTGATAAGTAACAGTCAGCATGGATTTTTCAAGAACAAATCATGTCAAACCGACCTGATAGCTTTCTTTGACAGGGTAACAAGCCTTGTGGATAGGGGGAAGCGGTAGATGTGGTATATCTTGACTTTAGTAAGGCTTTTGATACAGTCTCGAATGACCTTCTCATAAACAAACTAGGGAAATACAACCTAGATGGAGCTATTATAAGGTGGGTGCATAACTGGTTGGATAACCATTCCCAGAGAGTAGTTATCAATGGTTCACAGTCATGCTGGAAGGGCATAATGAGTGGGGTCCCGCAGGGATCAGTTCTGGGTCCGGTTCTGTTCAATATCTTCAGCAATGATTTAGAGTATGGCATAGAGAGTACACTTATTAAGTTTGTGGATGATACCAAGCTGGGAGGGTTGCAAGTGCTTTGGAGGATAGGATTAAAATTCAAAATGATCTGGACAAACTGGAGAAATAGTCTGAGGTAAATAGGATGAAATTCAGTAAGGATAAATGCAAAGTACTCCACTTAGGAAGGAACAATCAATTGCACACATACAAAATGGGAAATGACTGCCTAGGAAGGAGTACTACAGAAAGGGATCTAGTGGTCATACTGGACCACAAGCTAAAAATGAGTCAACAGTGTAACGCTGTTGCAAAAAAAAAAAAGCGAACATCATTCTGGGATGTATTAGCAGGAGTGTTGAAAGCAAGACATGAGAAGTAATTATTCCGCTCTACTCCACGCTGCTTAGGCCTCAACTGGAGTGTTGAGTCCAGTTCTGGGCACCACATTTCAGGAGAGATGAGAACAAATTGGAGAAGGTCCAGATAAGAGCAACAAAAATGATCAAAGGTCTAGAAAACATGACCTATGAAGGCTGAAAGAATTGGGTTTGTTTGGTTTGGAAAAGAGAAGACTGAGAGGGGACATGATAACAGTTTTCAAGTACCCAAAGGGTTATCACAAGGAGGACGGAGAAAAAATACTGTCCTTCACCTCTGAGGACAGGAGAAGAAGCATTGGGCTTAAATTGCAGCAAGGGCGGTTTAGGTTGGACATTAGGAAAAACTTCCTAACTGTCAGGGTGGCTAAGCACTGGAATAAATTGCCTAGGGAGGTGGTGGAATCTCCATCATTGAGGATTTTTAAGAGCAGGTTGGACTAACACCTGTCAGGGATGGTCTAGATGATACTGGTCCTGCCATGAGTGCAGGGTCTGGATCTGATGACCTCTCGAGATCCCTTCCAGTCCTATGATTCTTTGATCATCTAGGGGGCCTCCCTTCCCACCTGAGAGAACTCCTGGAAACACCTGAGAAGCAAAGACTGAACTGTGGGAAGTGCTG